GGGCATATTTTGTGTCATTCAGCATCACATATTCTCATTTCTTTTGAAACAATGTTAAACCTAAACCCTTGCAGAAGTGACTGTAGGCAGTTTGTTCAGATGACCTACTTTGGAGTCCAGCATTAGAGCAGGTCATCACGCGTCTGACTCCGCCCACCTGCTCCCAGACAGACAGACAGGCGCTCGTGTGGGCGGAGCTTATGGCCTCACTCACCAGTAAAGGTGTTCAGTCAGAGAATGAGTCATTTCAGCGGATGCTGTCTTGGCACAGACACACGACACATGTGCTTTAATGCTGCGACTCAAACCGCAGATGTTCATTCTGATGACACCAGTATTTACATTTCTAAATGTACCTGCTGTCATTGTGATCGATTAACACAATGTATTTAATTGTAGCTTAAACATTGTTTCAATGTTTATATATTTGTTTTGAAATTGTTTTCACAGCAGAATTATTTCAGCAAAAAACTGTAAAGAATACCACTGAAATGTTGTTTAGAGCATCAGCGGACGCTGGTCGAGTTAGCCGTTTGATTCGTTTATAAATCAAGTTAGTTTGTTGTTTAGGATGGTCCATAACTGCAGCCGTGTTGATGAAGCATTTCTGTGCGTTTAGTGGAGTTTGGGCAGTATATTATATTGTGATTCTGACTGTTTCTCCCTAACGACGTGTTGCTTAATTGAAACTGAAAGTGAGAGTTTGAGTGTGATAGAAATGCAAAACTTGTCGGTTTTGGAGACAGAAATACACGCTGTGATATATTTGCATGCAAACCTGAGAGTTTGTGTCGTTTGTGACTGAATGCTTTTGCTTTTTAATTAAAGAATCAATATCTGTACTTTTTATTGTCCGTATCCAAAGATATGAATGGTAGCATTGACATGAATACTGTTTTAAACATATTTAAAATTAATGTTCAGTAGTCATAATTTGCTCATCTGTCAAATTTGCTAACTTTCTTTCTTTCATGAAACATAAAATGAGAATGTATGAAGAATATCTGACCTGGTCTCAATATAATTTACTGCCAATGTCCATAAATGACAAAAAAGTATCTTAAAAACATTAAAAGTCGTTCATATGACTTGTGCAGCAAACAGGTCAAAATTTAAGTCGCTGTTCACTGAAGATCTTGACATTCGCCCTAGTTATACTTGGTTGGCATGTTCATGAGAAGTATTATGAATAATTAATAAATGATTCACTCTTTTCAATCAGTTCACATAGCCAGTCTAAATGATGACAGAATGTTAATTTCTTAGTGAAATATTCCTTTAATGTCTGTTTAAGTAACATCTTAAATAGACACTCGTTGTGTTTTGATGTGTAACTGTGTGTGTGTGTTTTTCTTTTTTCATTTTTGCTGTGAATCAGTAAGTGATTCGGTTCTTTGTCTCTCAGGCGCTTTGGTGCTAATGTCCAGAAGTGACAAAAACGTGCTATAAAAGCATTAAAAGCAGACCATTAAAGTAGTGCATATGACAAACAGGATGAAATTTAAGTTGCTGTTCACCGAAGATCTTGATATTTGCCCTATTTTATTTTCCATATTAATGAGAGAAGTAGTGATGAATAATTCATGAATGATTCATTCTTTTGAGTCAATATCGAATGAATTCAGTTCACATCCTGTTCACAGCCAGTCTAAATGATGACAGAAAGTTCATTTTTAAGTGAAATATTCATTTAAAGTCTATTTAAGTAAGATTATTGTTTAAGTTTGTTGTTTTTTCATTTTCGATTGGTTCTCTGTTTGTCTCTCAGGCTCTCTGCTGCCACAAATAGCAAAAAGTGTCATAAAAGCACCATTAATTAAAGTAGTGCATATGACTTGTGCGACAAACAAGATGAGATTTAAGTTGCTGTTCACCGAAGATCTTGATATTTGCCCTAGTTTTTTCTTGGCATGTTCATGAGAAGTAATTATGAGTAATTCATGAATGATTCATTCTTTTGAGTCGACTCAGTTGATTCAGTTCACGTAGCCAGTCTAAATGATGACAGAATGCTCATTTTTGAGTGAGCTATTCCTTTAATGTCTATTTAAGTCAGATAACCATTGTGTTTTGGTGTGTAACTGATTCGTTTGGCTGTGAATCAGTGAGTGATTCGTTTGCGTGTCGGTCTCTCAGGCGCAGGGCGAGAGCATCGTGCGCGTCAGTCTGAAGGAGAGGGGTCAAGACGTACTGGTTCTCCAGAGAGTCCCATCAGATCCCGTGTCTCCACAAACGGCCGGAGTCAAAGACGAGGACGGAGATAAGAGGTGAGGCCACGCCCCCTTGGCTAGCCCCTCCCCTTTATTTACATATCCTTAAGCACCATCCCTCCACCAATCAGTCTCTCTCTCTTGAACACATTGCTGTTGTCCTCATTACA